AACATTCTAAATATATATCTGAGTTTACATTAGTAAAAGGTTCCTGAACTTGGAGACCCAGTGATAGTTGTTGAGGGCATTTGGTGACTAATTTTCTCTCTAATACTAATAATTTTATTATAAAAAAAGCTCATGAAGTCATTGCTGCTTAAGTTTACGGGGATATGTGGCTCAATAGAGCTGTGACTCTCTGTCTGCCTGGCTACAGTGCTGAAGAGGAACCTAGGGTTGTTCCTATTTTCTTCTATTAGTTGAGTAATAGGCTACTCTGGCATTACGGAGGGCTTTTCTGTAGGTTTTAAGATTATCTTGCCAAATTGAGCGATATTCTAATAATTTGGAAGAGCGCCATTTCCTTTCAGATTTCCTTGTTTTTTGCTTCAGTTGGCGAGTTTGGTGGTTGTACCACGATGCTAGTCTCCTATGTTTTAATAATTTCCTTTTTATAGGGGTGATAAAATCTAATGCTGATCGTAGTGAGCCTGCAGCACTATTAACAAGATTATCAATTTCGGAGGGACTAAAGCTGTTATAGGACTCTGTTATATTCAGACATGGCATTGAATTAAACATGGAATGGAATTTCTTCCTCAAATTTAGCTACAGCACTGTCCGATAGACATCTGCTGTAGGAAGTTTTGCCTAATGGCTTATAATCTAATAATATGAATTCCAAAGTTATTAAATTATTATTATTATTATTATTATTATTACTATTATTATTATTATTATTAATAAATAATGGTCAGATAGGAAAGGATTATGTGGGAAGACTATTAAATGTTCAATATAAGTGCCATATGATAGAACAAGGTCAAGAGTGTGATTAAAACAATGAGTTGGTTTATTTACACTCAAACAGAAGCCAATTGAGTCTATTAATGATATAAATGCGTTACTAAGACTGTCATTTTCAACATCCACATGAATATTAAAATCACCTACAATAATTACTTTATCTGATTTAAGGACTAAACTTGATGAAAACTCTGAGAATTCAGATATAAAATCAGAGGACGGGCCAGGAGCACAGTACAAACAGAACTGGCTGCAGTGTTTTGGTAGAGTCTTGGTAGGGTCTTTATAAAGAGTTCGGTCTAGACCTGCTCTATTTCAAAAGTGTCCTGAGATAACTTCTGTTATGAATTGGCGCTATACAAATAAAATTGAATTGAATTGAATTGTTTTCCAGGTTGGGTGAGAAAGACCAGGAACAAGGCTTCCAAATGAATTATAATTTAGTTTAGGTTTAGGGTCCATTCTATTCATCATTTTGTATCAGTAATGGTATATGCCAAACCGATTATCGTGATTATCTAAACCATTTTCTTTGGAGGTCAAAGGGACAGTGAATGCACCTGCATTGAAAGACTGCTTGTGTTATAGTTGGGGAAATCCAATTCCTTGTGTCAAAATACTCAAATTTGCTTAGCTCTGATCCTAACAAATGTCTTCTTGAAATGTCTTCTGATTCTTTGTTATCAGCAGTTAGCAGGCTTCTCATTTTTAGATGCTACTATCACCATTTGTGATGAAAAATATCACTGGCAGCAGATTATACTAACTGCTTGATTTTTTTGAATGTCTGGACACTGATGTCACAGTGTTTACAGATTTCAGCAATTTACTTAGTGAGTACGACATTAATATGACTGACATTATGGGGGGGGGATCAAATTTGAGATCAAATTATTTTCATCTGATATGTAGGACAAAACAGCAGATTCATTAAATCAGGACAGTTTTTGTTTTCTTTCTTTCTTTTCATTTGAATTAATTATGAATATTGAATTAAAATGGGATAAATAAAGTATCTATCTGTCTCTATCTCTTTCTTTCTTTTTACAGTGCAGTGCTAAACTGAGAACAAAACCGGAACCTGACCCTCTAACCTTAACCAAACCCTAAGCTATAACTGCAAGTTCAACCAAACCAAATTCAACCTAAACTTTAACCCAGAAAATAAATTGAACCAAAAGTTGCATTTTATGCTAATTAGACAAAATAACTTTTGAGAAATGAACATTCAGTTATATATGAAAGCATAAGTGTAGTATAAAGAGAATATGGAGGTGATGGGGTGGATGGATGGCACAAACAAACACAGGACTTTAACCCAGGAGACCACTGTCCATGTCCCCTTTTAAACATGAACTTCTTTTAAGTTATGAAGGTTATGTAAATTAATTTAACCTAAATTATGACAGACATGTAACGTAATTTACAATCTTTCCCTAAACCTAACCAAGTAGTTTTTGTGCCTAAACCTAACAAAACTGTAACTTTTTGTAACGTTAATCACACAGGTTTTATTTTGAAAGTCTAACCGTATGTTGCATATATATTCTTGCTAATTTAACTTATGTATAGGGGCAAATTTAATATGGAACCAAACATCTAAGAATTTTAAAATGTAAAAGATCTAACAAACATCTAAAAAAGATCATCTCTGAAATTCCTTCTTACATTGGAATAATCAATGTGGTTCAGAAACAAAGCAACATCAACACTGACTCCACAGCTCAAGGGATCAGTTTGAAACAACCTGATCTAACTTTGATGTCGGATACAATAGACAAAAAGAAAAACACACTTATTGAGAGGTCATATCAGGTGCATCGTCTTATTAAACCCAGAGCATACAGGGAAGCACAGAACAATCAGAGCTCTCTGACTCTCAATGTGACTCCCTCCTACCCCCATGAGAGAGAAAACCCCATTGAACTCCCATCACTGCTCTCTCTCTGAAGGCATAAACAAAGACTTTTAAAGGTAGTAGATGAGATGTGGATTGTGGACTAAATGTAAGGCTCTGCCCTGAATCTATTCACACATTCACACCTAATGACATAATGGGATCAGATCAGATGTAATGACAGTTTGTGTTCACGCAAATCTCCTCTCTCCACTTACTGATGAAGTCATTAGCTTACAGTTTTAGGAACATTTGAAACCCTGCAGCCTGAACTCATTGTTGATTTTCAGATTTGATCTTTTTTTTCAGAGTAGGGGGATTATGGGCACTCTTGGCCATTATTTCTATTCAGATTTACCCCCAAAAAATAAAACACCAGTGATATGTTTTTTATAATGAGCAATTACTCTGTAAACACATCTAATAGATACAAGTCAGAGGTGACAGGAAGTAGCTTCCAAAATCAGTGTCTTGCTCAAGGACACTTCGACATGTAGCAAGAGGAGCCAGGGATCAAACCACCAACCTTCCAATTAATGGACGACCCGCTCTACCTCTGAGCCACAGCCGCCTGTTGTACAGTGTGTGCACAATTATTAGGCAAGTTGTATTTTTGAGGATTAATTTTATTATTGAACAACTACAGTGCTCTCGGTCAATCCAAAATGTTAAAGAACCTAAACCTGAATGTTTAAGAAAGTAAAAGTGAGGTTTTGTCTTTCTTAAGAGAATATATATATATATATATATATATATATGTGTGTGTGTGTGTGTGTGTGCACAATAATTAGGCAACTATTAGTGTGCAGAATTATTATGCAACTAAATGAAAAAAACGAACATTTTCCCATCTCACTTGTTTATTTTTATCTGTTAAAGTGAGAATAATAAAACAACTCAAAATTTACAAATAAACATTTCTGATATGTCAAAAAAAAAAAAATCAGTGACCAATAAAGTCACCCTTCTTTTCAATAACTGTTGACGATCAACTTTTTGTGCAGCAGCAACCACAGCCTCCCAGACACTGTTCAGAGAGGTGTACTGTTTTCCTTCACTGTAAACCTCCTGTTTAAGCAGGGCCCACAGGTTCTCAATAGGGTTTAGGTCAGGTGAGGAAGGGGGCCATGTCATTATTTTTTCATCCTTAAGGCCTTTACTGGCTAGCCATGAAGTGGAGTACTTCGATGCATGCGATGGAGCATTGTCCTGCATAAAAATCATGGTCTTCTTGAAAGATGCAGACTTTTTCCTGTACCACTGCTTGAAGAAAGTGTCTTCTAAAAACTGGCAGTAGGTTTGGGAGTTGATTTTGATCTTCAACCCGAAAAGGTCCAACTAGCTCATCTTTAATAATACCAGCCCACACCAGTACCCCACCTCCACCTTGCTGGCGTCTGAGTCGAAGTGGAGCTCTGTGTCCGTTACTGATCCAGCCACGGGCCCATCCATCTGGTCCATCAAGAGTCACTCTCATCTCATCAGTCCATAAAACCTTTAAAAAAATCTGTCTTATATTTCTTGGCCCAGTCTTGACGTTTCAACTTGTGTGTTTTGTTCAGTGGTGGTCGGGTTTCAGCCTTCCTTACCTTGGCCATGTCTCTAAGCACTGAACACCTTGTACTTCTGGGCACTCCGCGTAGGTTGCAGTTCTGGAATATGGCAGCACTGGAGGATAATGGGTTCCTGGTAGCTTCACGTTTGATTCTTCTCAAATCTTTGGCAGTTGATTTGCGTCTTTTTTTCTCAATACGTTTCTTGTGACCCTGTTGGCTATTTGCAACAAAACGTTTGATGGTTCGGTGGTCACGCCCCAATATCTTAGCAATTTCAAGAGTGCTGCATCCCTCTGAAAGACTTTTTACAAGAGTCCGTTAAATCTCTTTTTTGGCCCATTTTGCCTGAGGAAGAGAAGCTGTCTAATAATTATTCACACCTTGATATAGAGTGTTGATCTCCTTAGGCCACACCCTCACTCATTACGCAAATACACATCAACTGGTATGCTTAAATCCAATAAGCACTCAAGTTTATACAGCTTGAAGTTGGAAAATATGCATAAAAATTATGATATGGCCAAAATACTCACTTGCCTAATAATTGTGCACACAGTGTATACTTTTATGCTCAATTTGATGGTCAGTCTCATTCACCACCCTCAGTACATCTTTCTTCACTGAATAATGAGTCAGTTAATCTTAAAATTTAGTAATTGAAAATTTTCATTCAACACTTACTGTAATGCAGTTAAATGACCATCTATATGTAAAGGTGGAGAATAAAGTGGAGTTGAAGTCAAACTCACCACGCTGTAAATCTGTGGCTTGCGTCTCTTTGCCAGGTCAATGATGTTGATTCCGTTGTAGTAGAGGTTTTCCATGCAACCATGGAAGTTCTTCCTGAGGAATGTGCCAGGTTTACCAGGCAGCGGGATGCCTCCAAAACTCAGCTTTAATGAGGAGATAAAGCAGAAAAAGTATAATGCAAAAACTAACAACATCACAATAAAGCTCACATTTATGGGGGGCGTTTGTATGATAACTATGATGGTACCGCCTTGTTTTAAAACCAAAATGTGCTTGAAAATCGCTTTTTCAGCTTGAATGATAGTAGCATTTTTGTTCACACAGTATGTTACATGAACTTAAGTAACACTGACAAAAACAATTTCTTGGCCATGTATACAAGTAAATGTGTTTCTAGTCGGCTTTTTACATGTAAATGTATTAAGGATGGTAAGAAGAGATGTATATTGCATTGGCCTCAGTGATAGATGCATATCCCTCACATGTACATGTATGTGCGGGACAAATGACTATAGAAACAGCATTCCTTTGAGAACTAAAGGAGTGATAATAAGCAAACTGTTCCTGTATTTTAAATAATTCCATGTGAAGTCTGACTAAAATAAGTGCTAAGAAGCCTCGAGAAGTCTAAGTAAGTCTGTTTCCAGTATTTATTCAATCTAAATACATTCCTGCTGGGAAGGAAAGCTCTGCTCTTTCTGTCAGGAAGCAGCATCTTCTATCTCTGTGCAGTTAAAGTAAGAAAGCCACGCTTGCAAAATAAGGCTGGGGAGTAATCTGATTACTGATGTACAGCATGTACAAGCATGTTTACAGTTCGGTATGGTGGATGGCCCTAGCCAGCTTGAGTCCCTGAATTAATACTGCTGATTATTTTTTCAGCTTTTACACAGTGTAATATTTAGCTTCAATTCTCTGTTTTGGGTGCATATAGTCTACTGCTAGTTATGTGTGTGGGTGACTGCTCAAAAACAACAATGGCAGCTGCTAAAGATGTTAGCGTAGATGCTGTGAGCATAAGTTATATCAGAAGTGGAGAATATTTCCTCACTTCACCTAAACTTGAACAGAAAAGAACGGCACTTCCTGACTTCCTTGATGGTTCTGTGGAACAAACCATCTGCTGCAGTCAGGTTACATTCTTCATACTGATTAAACTAAAGTGGCATATTAATATTAACACTTGAAGCATTCCAACTGTAACATAATTGACAATAAGAACATAAATGGGACTTTTACTACATCCAGAATTCTGGACACATAACTCCTCCAACTCCATGTCACACTGAATAGTGATTTAATGTGAACGACTGGCAGGATGGACTGACCTCATAGTCAACCTCCAGTGAGTCTCCTTCCCCTTGGGTTTGGAAGTGCTGTGTGTGGGAGTCCACTGTGAGGTTCACCTGCTTGTTGAAGCGCTCAATGATGACAGAATGCCAGTGCTGGTCATCTAGCAGACTGCCAACTGTGACGGCAACACAACTGCTGCTGAACCTCTGCCTAGTGTCATCTGACAGAAACACAGAAAGACAAAAAAACAGCATGTGAAAAACAACTCAATCAACGAATGAAGAATAATTTCTATAACCGATGAATACATTTTTGTTAAAACTTCCAAGATTTACTTGGTCCAGCTTCTCAAATGGGATGGTTTGCAGAGGTCGCATGACTTGGGCTCAAGTCAGATTCAAGTTACAAATCTGGTGATTCTCCACTTGCCAAAATAAAATAAAAAATCACTAACCCAAAAATGACTTTATATCCAAGCTTTTAAATGTAGAATTCCCTTATTAACAAATATGTGCACACTGAAAAATGAGCAGAAGCTGAGTATTTGGATTAAAACTGACGAGTGGACTGAAATGTTTATATTTTCTACCAGTACAAGCTGTCCCTACTTGAAGACAGGTGACCCTAGCTGCTGTTAGTTAGGAGTTAATTTTGTCTACTAGTTCACAATTACATAATTATTCCAAACCAATACTTTAACGTTCATCGTTTTGCAGACGATACAATTTTACATGCCCCAGTTGTAAGCCCAGGCTCTGCCTCATCACCAGTCTAACTTTGATGACCAAATATACAATATTCTCCACAGACCAAAGACTCTGACTATCCTGCCATTAAAACTTTAAATAGCACCCAGTTCACTCTGACACAGACCTCCAGGACTGCCTTTTTTTCATTTACGCAATATTACAAAAATTGGACACATCCTGTGACAGACAGATGCAGAAAAACTAATCCATATATTTTTTACTTCAAAACTAGATTACTGAAATTCCTTATTATCAGGTTGCCCCAATAAGTCCATTAAGATGCTCCAATTAATTCAGAACGCTGCAGCACGAGTACAGACAGGAACTGGGAAAAGAGATCATATCTCTCCTGTATTAGCTTCTCTGCACTGGCTCCCTGTAAAATTTAGAATAGAATTTAAAATCCTCCTCCTCACCTACAAAGCTCTTCATGGTCAGGCCCCTTCATATGTTAAAGAGCTCATAGTACCCTATTACCCCACTAGAACACTGCGTTCTCTGAATGCAGGGCTACTTGTGGTTCCTATAGTCTCAAAAAGTAGAACAGGAGTCAGAGCCTTCCGTTACCAAGCTCCTCTCCTATGGAACCAGCTTCCAGTTTTGGTTCGGGAGGCAGACACCCTCTCCACGTTTAAGAGTAGGCTTAAGACGTCCCTCTTTGATAAAGCTTATAGTTAGGGCTGGCTCAGGTGAGTCCTGAACCCTCCCTCAGTTATGCTGCTATAGGCCTAGACCAGGGGTGTCAAACTGATCCGTAAAAAGGGCCGGTATGGCTGCAGGTTTTCATTCTAACCATGCAGCAGCACACCTGACTTGGTTCATTCAATCAACTGAACTGTCTTCACACAGTCAAAAACTTGCAGCCACACCCACGCTTTAATCAAGGGTGGATGTGGCTGCAAGTTTTTGTTCCAATCACGCAAGAGGACACCTTAAATGACTGTGTGAAGACAGTTGAATTGATTGAATGAACCAAGTCAGGTGTGCTGCTGCATGGTTGGAATGAAAACCTGCAGCCACACCGGCCCTTGAGTACCGCCTTGAACACTTCTATGTGATAATATTCAGTAATAGTGAGAGCGCCACCTAATGGTGAAAGGAAATGTATTTTTTGTACTTTTATTTATATCTTCAAGCATATTGACCAGATCCAGCTGAAATTATGTGAGAAGTTCCTTAGGAGGATGAGGATCACATATTATGAATCTTAAGAATTTGCATCGAACCATGTTGCCATGGCGACGCGGCAAAAATCAAAAAAATTCACACTTTTGGGGGGACTAAACATGCCTGAAAACTCATGAAACTTTGCACAGAATTCGGTGGTTCCGAACGCCGAGGTATTGTCTTGGTCCCGTGGATTGGTGTTGCAAAATGTCTTAGCCACGCCCCCAAGAGTCAGCCCCCAAGACATGTATGACTGACATGTATGAAAATTGCTACGCATGTGTATCATGATAAAAGAAGCAAAAAAGTCTCTTGGACCCATACCTCAAACCCAACAGGAAGTCGGCCATTTTGGATTTTGTCGCGATTTGCACACGTTGTATTTGAATGAACTCCTCCTAGGGAATTTAATGGACCGACTTCAGATTTGGAGACAGCCATCTAAACACATTCACCATTAAAATTTGTGCTCTTCAGTTTTTTTTGTCATGTTTATTTGGCAAAATGGTCAGGCCTCGGAAATTTTTTTTTATTCTATGTGTCACTTTCAGGTCGGCCGCTAGGTGGCACTATTATCATAAAAAGTGCGTTTAGGCTAATAACTTCTGCAGAGTTTGTCGCACATTCATAAACCTTGTATCCACGCGTTCGGTGAATGGAGCTGAATCTTCCTATATAGGCCCCGCCCACTTCCGCCTATAGTTTTTTTTCGTTAGAGCGCGAAATTAAACTACTTTTTCGTGTTCCTCCTACATGCTTTGTCCGATTCGCATGAAAATTTTCACCTAGCACCTGGGGACCGCCCTGGCAAAAAGAGTAATTTGAACATTTTTGAAATTTCAAAAAATAAGAACGCTATAAAATTCTAACTTCCTGTAGATTTTTTGTCAAAAAAGGAAGTGGACCATTTCTCCACATTGCTATGTCCGATTGACATCAAACCTGGGTACTTAGTTCCCCATGTCTTCCTTAGGCACCGTGCACAATTTCAGGCCATCGCCTCTAGGTGGTGCTCTTTAAAATGAAGAAGTTTATATCTCCATAACGGCACGTGTGATTGAAATGAAACTTGGTACGATGCTTGCCCGTGGCTCCCTGAGGCTCGCTAAAAAATGTGTCAACAATCCACCACTAGGTGGCGCTCTAAATCATTTTGAGCTGATTTACATGAAATTTCATGTTTTGGTCCGCACGTGTAACATCGCACTCCACGCAACACGGCCGCAGCACACCCTGAGTTGCGTGGAGTGCGAGGTCCCGCTCAACGCTGCTTGCAGCTTTTAATTATTAAAAGTTGTGCTATTTGTGCATGTACGTTGAAGGGCGTGTCCGTGGCATGCCCTCAAAGTTGGCCATAGTGAATTCCGTGCGCATTAATTATTATTATTATTATTACAATTATTATTATTACTACAATTACTATTATAACTATAATCACTGCTCATTGTTGTCATCATTGTTGTCGTCGTCATCATCATCTTCTTCATGTTCATCATCATTATCACCATCAGTCACTACTATTAGTGTAGTTGTTGCTACTGTTGTTTCTCTCTGTCTCTGTCCTTCTGTTCTTACCTCCGTCTCTGTCCTTCTGTCTTTACCCATTCTCTCTTTCTCTCTCTCTCTCTCTCTCTCTCTTTCTCTCACCCCAACTGATCGAGGCAGACGGCCACTTACCTAGAGCCGGGGGCTGGCCTGAGGTTTCTGCCTCTTAAAAGGAAGTTTTTCTTTTGCGCCGTTGCCAAGTGCTTGCTCATTGTAGAACTTTCCAGCAGGTGTAACTATTGCTTTATATATATATATATATATTAAAAGTGATAGATGTTATGATTATGTTCTGGGGTATTTGAGGAAATAAGTGTGTACATTTACCACCTTATTCCGAATGCAGGCATATTTTGTGTTATATTTCATATATGTTATAATCTTACCAGGTTACAGGTTTGTTTTATTATCATTCCTGGTCTCCAGACAGTGTCTGTGTATGCGTAATTAGTCACAGTGCGCAGGTGGCTCGCCTTTAGGTTGCATTTTCATTCAATTGATGGTCAGGACTGGTACGCCTTGCCGGTGAGTGACTATAAACTAGCATTGCTAGTAATTCAAATCAAGATTTAATATCACATGAATGATTGTATAATTTCATTGGTTAATTCTGGGTTTTGTGTTTGTGTTTTTGTTGCAGGTTTACCACCTAACTAACTAACTAACTAACTAACTATCGAGTTGTATCCGCCGTACTTGCCCTGAAACCCTTCCAGAGGAGAGTTCATTGAGCTATAGCAGGTAGCTTAGTAAAAGACTGGACACTCATGGTGGGATCTATTGAGTCTCTCTAGACCTGCTATATTTTGAAAAGTGTCCTGAGATAACTTTTGTTATGATTTGGCACTATACAAATAAAACTGAATTGAATTGAATAACATAAATATATCTGCTGGAAAGACCTTTTTTCTGTTTGTCAGAACCACACGTGCATCAGTGTTTAATTTGTCTGAACACCTTTCAGTAAAACAAAAGTCAAAATTGCAATTTACAGTAAAGGACAAACTATCTGAAAAAAACAATCAGTAAACATGGCTGAGGTACTAAAAGCTAGCATGGCTATACTTGATCAGTTTTTGATATTCTGTCATATGAATATTTCTGGGTTCAATACATAGCCATATTTAATTTTAAGAATACCATTTTTATACCAAGGTTTCACATTCTATTCTCTATTTCACTGTACCATTAAAACAGTAAGAATAAAAGACAGTGAGTCTAAAGAGCACCATTTGCAAGCTACAGAATGAGCATTCACCAAAGAAAGATTGCAAGTGAAACTCATAATTATCACCTAAGACATCATAATTATGAGATCTGTCTTATACTATTGCAGTGCAGTGTTTACATGCCTTAGTAAATACTCAGCTTCAGCTTGTGCAGAATGAAAAGAAAGAAAAAACTTCTTTTAGCGACTTTTCGCTATTTTCAAAGTTTTCACACATGCTAGCTTCTTCAGCATTAACACTTAACGATGGATTCACCCTCTTCCTCTGCTCTGTCCTGCTCAGTGTGCCAGATGTTTAGTTATTCCCCAGCCTCCTTTAGTGATAATGATACATGTATTAAGTGTAGTTTATTTACTGCGCTGGAGGCGAGGCTTAGTGAACTAGAGGAACGGAACCGCACCACAGAATTATCTTTAGCCGCTATAGTTAGCCAGCCCCCAGTAGTCAGTGCGGGCCGACCGAAGGTAGCTTCTGCTAGCCGTTCCCCGGTAGTTCCCCCGGTAGTTCCCAAGCAGCCGGGAAGACAGGGAGAGTGGGTGACTTTCCGGGAGAAGCATAGCCGCAAACAGAAGAAGCCCACAGTTCACCACGAACCGGTTCACGTTTCTAATCAATTTTCCCTCTTGTTGTGGTTCGGGAGGCACCCTCACCACATTCAAGAGTAGGCTTAAGACATTCCTCTTTGATAAAGCTTATAGTTAGGGCTGGCTTATGTGAGTCCTGAACCATCCCTTAGTTATGCTGATACATACAACATCCACATGAATATTAAAATCACCTACAATAATTACTTTATCTGATTTAACCCTTTAGGCGCCGGGTTTTATTTAGAAAAATACTAGATTTTGACATCTAAATTTCAGAAGGCTCTGGCTTGAAAGTGGTTTGAGATAGAGACAAAGTGTAAATGACACAAATATTGAGAATGACCTAAAGTTTATCTAGGGAGTACATTTCCCCATCTAATTTGCATATTATGACGTCATATGGCGACGGCCATATTGGATTATATAATTTCCATGAAATACCTGATATTTTGAAAGCCTGCAGAGGCCTAATCTGATCTATCCAGATAAAAGTTTGTAGTATTTGTAGTATAGTGTGGAACCTCTCATTGCAAGGCACAGTACAGAGACAATATGAACAATATTGAGACCCCACCACATAGCCTAACAAATGGACAGGTACACATCCGCATCGGATGGCTGCGCCACTGCCGCGCTTGGACGCACTGTGACCGGCGGGGTAGAAAGAGTGAACACTAACGCTGGTCCCAGCGCTATTCTCACCACCCCCGCTACTTCTACCACATCCATTAGCTCCCTTACTGATACTACGAGTTTGTGTAGTACTCCCACCTATGTTGGGCAAAGGGTCATGTGTTTGTGCTTGTGTGTTTTCCCCGCTCTGCCCGGCAGCGCCGGTGCAAAGACGCACCGTGACTATCACGCTCACTAAACGACCGGCCGTCATCTCCCAAAGGTAGATTTTCCCCTTCAGAATCAGAGTCAGCGAACAGGAGACCCATCACTTCCCTAATCATCAACTTTTAGCTTGTCATTTTCGTTTATTTCGTCTCAATAACTCCTAAATCCAGTAATACCGCTTCAGCATAAATAGCACCGTGGCGCACTATTTCCGGTTTCTCGCCCAACAGTTTGGATGGGTCTTCCTCATTTTGCATTGAAACATGACGTTTTTCTGAGCTAAGGTCTAAGTATGGGATGTCTGCCAACTAGTGGAGGGGAGTATGAATGAGATATAACACTCTATTAGGAGAAAACAGCTGTTTGATTTAGTACCGCGTCCTGTCGCAATTTTGCGACTTTGGCGCTTAAAGGGTTAAGGACTAAACTTGATGAAAACTCTGAGAATTCAGATATAAAATCAGAGTACGGGCCAGGAGCACAGTACAAACAGAACTGGCTGCAGTGTTTTGGTAGAGTTCGGTCTTTATAAAGAGTTCGGTCTAGACCTGCTCTATTTGAAAAGTGTCCTAAGATAACTTCTGTTATGAATTGGCGCTATACAAATAAAATTGAATTGAATTGAACTGAATTGAATGCTGCAGCTCATGCACCAATTGAAGGTCACATATCACTCCAGTCTCACCTCCCTTCATTGGTTGCCAGTTTAGTTCAGGGTTGATGTTAAGATTCTTGTCATGGCTCTGCTCCCCACCTGCTCCCTTTGCTCCTCCTCCTTCCCTGTGTGTCTGAGGGTGCGGCCTCCATTCTCCTCACCTGCTGTCTGCTGTCTCACCTGCTCTCAATCATTCATCATGCCTCGGTCTTCAAGAACCCCGGTCTTCCTCCCATTCATCGCCAGATTGTTTCAGCCTATGTGGTGCTAACTCTCATGGCTCCCTTCAGTATTTAGTTAATCAATTCAAGCTCTCTTGTGATTTTCCCTGTGCCTGTTCCCCAGCTAACCATTTCTCTCCTGTGTCCCAGGGTCCCTTTGTGCAGTTTGGCTTCCTGTTTCTGCTCACCTGTGCCTCTGTGTCTCCGGTCTCTTTCGCCATTTCATCCGCCCGTTCCTACTGTGGCCACCCCTCATTCCCCCTGTGTGTGCGTGTGCGCGTGGAATAAAACCCCTTTTAACCTTCCAAACTGTCTGGGTGTCTGCTCCTGGGTCCAGTCCTAACACCAGCCGTGACAATTCTTTTGATAACTTTTAAGACCCAACATGGTGTAGCCCCCAGCTATATTACAGAGCACTTACTATGCTCAGAGTCGGACCTTAGATCCTAAAGCCTGCTTGTCAGTACATTACCTGCTTTTAAATCTTTGCTTAAAACACATCTTTACAGGAAAGCCTTTTTTGATGTCTTACCCTGTGTTGTGTTCTTTTCTTTTATTCCCATATTGTTACTGTATTTTGTATGGCTACTGATATTATATCTTGTTTAATTCTCACTTTATCAAGCCACAGTACAGTGTAAACTCCCAAATTCCTGGAAACACAAGCTTGGTGTTCACGTGTACTCACTCATACTTCTCAGACTACCAATATTTCAAAGCCTCCTTTCAAGCTGCACCTTTTATCTCTGTTTCTCTTCTCTTGTTCAGTTTATTGTGAACTGTCCTCAGCTCCAGAGGAGAATGTTTATGGTGAACTGAGCTACACTCCAGCTGAAAATCTCCTTTCTCTCTCCAAAACCATCTACTTGTATAAAAATGCTTTTCAGTAAAAATCTGCAAAAACAGAAAATATTAAGCTGCAACCAAAAAACATGGAAACTCACATCCTTCCTTTGAATGTCAGCCTAGAAAACAGTTTTTATACAATTAAAATAACTTTCTCCCTCCCCATTTTCCTGTCTGTCTCTTATCTATCCATGTCTATCAAAGGCAAAAAAATTACCCCCTAAACAAATCTTTACACAAACAAACAAAAAAAACTCACCTAGGTTGAGGTAGAAGGCCAGTTTTCCTCTGTGAAGCTCAAGGGTGATATAATCTCCCCTCTGTCCCTCCCCGTGCAGCAAAACCCCCTCGGCCTGACGGCTTTTGAAGCGCAGAGTGATCACATCCTTCACTGTCGACATGGACTTCTGGTTGAAACGATACAGCAAAGAGCTTCTGCCATCAAAGTCCGCCACATCTGACTCTAAAAAGTAAAAATAAAGTAAATGGTAATGGTAAATGGACCTGTACTTGTATAGCGCCTTTCTAGTCTTCCAAACACTCAAAGCACTTTTACACTACGTGCCATATTCGCCCTCTCACACACATTCACAAAGCGATGGCAAAGCACATCGAACAGAAACTAACTCATTCATACACATTCACAATGTGAATGAGCAATTTGGGGTTCAGTATCTTGCTCAAGGATACTTTGACATGTGGCAGGAGGAGCCGGCAATCGAGCCAACAACCTTCCCATTAGGGGACGACCCGCTATGCCTCTGAGCCACAGCTCCCCCAGTCAAAGTCATCAGAATAACGTAATACACTCTGGATAACACATGCTACATGCTTGGATGCAGAACCGAAGCAGGCATGGCTGGTTTTTAATGAATGATTCAATGATTCAAGTTATATTACGTACAATTTTAATGGGTTCAGTAATGTGGCTACATGGGACGAAAGATTTCCAATCCAAGATTTAAAAAATCGGGGGAACTAAACCTGTTGGGAAATGTCCCTGCCCAATTCCCCAGCAACAACCTTCACGAAAAGCAGCAATTATCACATTAGCTTCAGGCTACTGTACCCTTGCTACTTTTTAAAAACTGAATTACATGTTCTGTGTGTCATTGAATGATGCAATGCTAACTGACACCGCTGCTGTGTGTTGCACTATGGTGCCTGTAGAAAAAATAACAACAAAAAAAACATAACCAGCCATTAAATTTGCATGCCAGGCCATGTGGATCAGTTGGCTTCCACCCCTAAAAATGCCTGGGCACCCCAGGTCAAATCACAAACTTTGGTTTGGTTGATATAAACCCTTAAATTCACTGACACAGATGTGTGACTAATTTAACTTTATCTATGGTCCATTTCAATTATACTGTATATTACTTCATCCCTGCTTTTTCCTGTTACTTATTATGACTAACTTTCATTTTACCTGTATGGTAAAAGGAGACCTTTAAATATGAACTTGTTCATTTGCTGTGCTTAACTGGACTTTTATTGTGATGGGTCACCTCATCCGGTCACTTCCGGTGACTGTAACCTGATGCAGCTTAATGACCTTCAATGTCCAGGTGATAAAACTCATGGCATGGCATAATTCTTGTACTCTTCTCTCCTTTCTACTCTCTTCGCTCACCTCACTCGCCCACACCGGGTGTTACGTCTTTGGACCTCGGTGTGGCCTGGCCACCAGCAAAAAAAAGGATTAAAGCAGGGCAAGGCAATTAATAATTTAATGATTAATCCAATTTCTGAAGAAATTGTTTAGTGTTAATAGTTATGAGACTGATCAATCACTTATTGACTATTGTTTCCCTTATTTAAGAGTGGTGCCCCGAGGAACTTTACTATTCAATATTTAAGTCTTTTCTATTATCTTTTGATAATTATAAACTTTGATAACCAAAATTAATTGATTACACTAATACATTGTACCAACAAATGGTAGCACTGTGATTTATCATAGCACCTACATGCCAGAATTTCAAAATTCAAGATAGATATATGTAATTTAATGATGATGATATTACAGGCTTATTTGAAAAGAATAGTTTTGGCAAAATAACAACGTTTGGCTGTCCATATTTCTTAAAACTAACTATACAAAATAAAAGACAATGTATGATTGTTTCATTCATAATGAAGTGCCTCATTATTTCAAACCAGTCAATTTAAAGCAGTCTTCTTGGCTGTGCAGTAAAAGTAATGTTCTGTGACCAAAGAATATAATACTGTAATATCTCCATGTCAAATCTCATCTGCACGTCTTCCACAGTTTATATCTCCTTACCAAACCGGCTTCAGTTTGTCCTGGAAAACATGGCTGAGCTACATTATTAGCTGTGGGTTGTTGGGTTGTCTTTTTTTCCCTTGGCTTTACTTTTTACGTTTCTCCTCCCCAGAGACTCTCCTGCAGAGATTTATGAATTTATAGATTTCTAGCCTGTAACGCAGCAGGATGCGCTGCGCTGACAACTCCTCTCCACCCCCACCCACCCCCCACACACCCACAAACAGTCTTCACATTCTATTTGAGATATTGTATGAAAAGAATATAGACATATTAGCATGTTTTCCTCTTCTAGCCTAGAAGTCTATTTTCTGATCTGTTACTGATTTAATCTGGTGTTCATCAGGGGCGAATGTAGAGAAATATTTATTGGTTTTTCCAGAAGGTGGCATGGCGTAGCATAAATATCTGCTGATTTAATCACAAAAAATCCCATATATCAATATTTATTTCCAATTGATTGCCCGGTGCCCTGCCAACCTTGGGAAAATATTAAATGCCATAATGGAGTAATGCTTAGTTCACATGCTGTGTTACCTGCTTTAATTATAACTACATTAGTGTATGTGTGTTACTAAACTATTCACATTCCAATTTCTCAGTTGATTGTCTGCCTGTCCAGACCATGTCTTTCTCTGTCCACTGCTTTCTGCAACCTTTGCCTCTCCCTGTCTCTCTGTATCATATTTTACCAGAAAAACACTGCCTGACCTTGATGGTGATAATTTTAATTTGAATATTCAGCTTTTATTAGCAGTTTTATTTACTGCATAATTGTATTACATATAATTGATTGCATATTTATAAGCTATAGGAACACAAGGTTCCAGGCTTGAGCTCGTCTGCAGGCAAAGTTGAGGGTGGCAAGGCATATGGCATTGATACTGAACATTTAATAGTCTTCCCACATAATCCTTTTCTATCTGACCATTATTTAATAACTTTTGAATTCATACTATTAGATTATAAGCCATTAGGCAAAACTTCCTACAGCAGATGTCTATCTGACAGTGCTGTAGCTAAATTTAAGGAGGAGATTCCTTCAGTGTTTAATTCAATGCCATGTCTGAATTTAACAGAGTCCTATAACGACTTTAGTCCCTCTGAAATTGATAATCTTGTCGATAGTGCTACAGGCTCACTACGATCAACATTGGACTCTATCGCTCCTATAAAAAGGAAATTATTAAAACATAGGAGACTAGCCCCGTGGTATAACCACCAAACCCGCCAGTTAAAACAAATAGCTAGGAAATCTGAAAGGAAATGGCGCTCTTCCAAATTATCAGAATATCGCTCAATTTGGCAAGATAATCTTAAAATTTATAGAAAGGCCCTCCGTAATGCCAGAGGAGCCTATTACTCAGCACTAATAGAAGAAAATAAGAATAACCCTAGGTTCCTCTTCAGCACTGTAGCCAGGCTGACAGAGAGTCACAGCTCTATTGAGCCACATATCCCCATAAACTTAAGTAGCAATGACTTCATGAGCTTCTTCTATAATAAAATTATTACTATTAGAGAGAAAATTGGTCACCAACCATCAACAGTTATCGGTGGCTCTCCAAGTTTAGGGACTTCTGCCAGTGTAGACTTAGATGTATGTTTGGACTGTTTTTCTGCTGTCGATCTTCGTCAGTTGACTTCAATCATTTCTTCGTCGAAGCCATCAACCTGTCTATTAGACCCGATCCCAACTAGGCTGCTTAAAGAAGTTGTTCCCTTAATTGGCACTTCTTTACTGGATATGATTAATCTTTCTTTATTATCAGGATATGTACCACAGTCCTTTAAAGTAGCTGTAATTAAATCCCTTCTTAAAAAGCCCACTCTTGACCCAGGGGTTTTAGCCCACTATAGACCGATTTCTAACCTCCCCTTCCTCTCTAAGATCCTGGAGAAAGTAGTCGCCAAAGAGTTGTGTGACTTTCTACATAACAATAGTTTACTTGAGGATTTTCAATCAGGATTTAGAGTTCCTCACGGCACAGAGACAGCTCTGGTTAAAGTGAATAATGACCTTCTGATTGCTTCTGACAATGGACTTGTCTCTGTACTTGTATTATTAGATCTTAGTGCTGCATTTGACACCATTGACCATAATATTCTTTTACAGAGACTTGAGCATCAAATTGGCATTAAAGGAACCGCACTAAGCTGGTTTAAGTCATATTTATCAGATCGCTCGCAGTTTGTACATGTTAACGATGAATCTTCAATAAATACTACAGTTAGTCATGGAGTTCCACAAGGTTCTGTACTTGGACCAGTACTATTTACTTCATATATTCTCCCTTTAGGCAACATTATTAGGAATCACTCCATTAACTTTCACTGTTATGCAGATGATACGCAGTTATATCTATCGGTCAAGCCTGATGAAATTAATCAGTTATCTAAATTACAAACATGTCTTAAGGATATAAAATCCTGGATGACCAGCAATTTTCTGATGTTAAACTCAGAAAAAAACGAAATTCTTGTTCTTGGCCCCAAAAACCTTAGAGACTCACTGTCTAAAGATATAGTTACTCTAGATGGCATTGACTTGTCCTCTAGCACCACTGTCAGGAATCTTGGAGTTATCTTTGATCAGGATTTGTCATTTAACTCCAACATAAAGCAGACCTCTAGGACTGCCTTCTTTCATTTACGTAATATTAGAAAAATTAGACACATACTATCACAGACAGATGCAGAAAAACTAATCCATGCATTTGTTACTTCAAGGCTGGATTACTGCAACTCTTTATTATCAGGTTGCCCCAATAAGTCCATTAAAACGCTCCAATTAATTCAGAACGCTGCAGCACGAGTACTGACAGGAACTAGAAAAAGAGATCACATCTCTCCTGTACTAGCTTCTCTGCATTGGCTCCCTGTAAAATGTAGAACAGAATTAAAAATCCTCCTCCTCACCTATAAAGCTCTTCATGGTCAGGCCCCTTCATATCTTAAAGAGCTCATAGTACCCTATTACCCCACTAGAACACTATGTTCTCTGAATGCTGGGCTACTTGTGGTTCCTATAGTCTCTAAAAGTAGAACAGGAGCCAGAGCCTTCAGTTACCAAGCTCCTCTCCTGTGGAACCAGCTTCCAGTTGTGGTTTGGGAGGCAGACACCCTCACCACATTCAAGAATAGGCTTAAGACATTCCTCTTTGATAAAGCTTATAGTTAGGGCTGGATCAGGTGAGTCCTGAACCATCCCTTAGTTATGCTGCTATAGGCCTAGACTATCAGGGGATTTCCCATGGTGCACTGAGCTCCTCCCTTCCTCTCTCTTTCTGCACTCAGTCATGTTCCATTAATGCATGTTACTAACTTCACTTCTTCCCCGGAGTTCTTGTGCTTTCTCGTCTCGCAGGTTCTTGTCGATCCTGGTGGAGCCTCCTGCCATGGTCCTGCTAGATTGCCATTGCCAATACTGTTGTTGCTGTGCACCTGTCTGTCTGTCTGTCTGTCTCTCGCTCTCTCTCTCTCTGTCTCTCTCTCTTTCTCTCTCTCACCCCAACTGGTCGAGACAGACGACCACCCACCTAGAGCCGGAGGATCTGTCCTAGGTTTCTGCCTTTTAACAGGCAGTTTTTCCTTGCCCTTGTCGCCAAGTGCTTGCTCATGGTGGTACTGTTGGGTCTCTGTAATTAATGTTTTAAAGAGTTCGGTCTAGACCTGCTCTATTTGAAAAGTGTCCTGAGATAACTTCTGTGATGGATTGGCGCTATACAAATAAAATTGAATTGAATTGAATTGAATTGAATACAGTAGATTATGATCTGAACTTCAGGGTGTGTCACTCACTGTAGGAGCAGCCGTACACCTCCACTCTGAGGCCCAGCCAGTTGCTGGGGTTCCAGTCCACAGGGACAAAACGCAGGAAACGGGTTCTCATGGAGTGGGACAGCTTGTTCGGGATGACGTCGTCTGAATTAACATTCCCCACAAAAGTCTGAAGGACAAGACAGAGAAAGAGATCATGGTTATGATGGCAACATTTAATGATGTTTCACTGAGAAATAACAGACATGATCTCAGATCTGATATTTCCACTGGGGAGTGGAAACATTTTTTTTTTTTAGCTGAATGCCTAAAATCCAAGCAGAAGAAAACGTATAAATCATATGAATAGCAAAATGCTGACAGGGCAAACCCAGGGGCAATGTCTTTTTCCTCTGCTTGAACATACTATTTGATGAAAAGAGATGTGATGCAGAAATATGAGAATATCCAGTCCATCGTGGTGAGGCACAAGAGGGGAAATAAGGGGTCTCGCACTGTGTCTACTCCCTGGGAAATAACAACCCACACATCTGAGATGTCATTATTCATTTCCACCTCAGTCCAAGCAGCAGAAAAAAACAAGAGGAGGTTGCAACTGCAGCTCTGGCACAGATAACTAGGAACTGGTTAAAACCTGCAACACTTCCCTTACCTCATCACCTAAACCGGTGCTTCCCTAACTGTTTTCAGTAATGTACCTACTTTGAAATAAAGTACCCCCTGACCAGTGCAAAAACAGATTTGGTAGATAAAAAATGTTTGCATAAAGAAATATAATACAGCATAATCCGTAACTGAAAAACACTAAAATGCCATTCCAAATGTTAAGAATCCATCACTAAATTCCTGGCAGACGAGGTTTTTGTTATCATGCATGCAAGACGGCAGTGAAGTTGCACTGAACTGATCAAACTCTTTCCAGGGGTTTTAAAGTATGGAGCCAGGACGGTGACTTTAAAATTTGGCATCCCAAAAAACAATTGGCATTGAAAACAAACCAGTACTGAAAAAGGAAACATTGGCATTGAAAACAGTTGGCACTGAAAAAATAAACTAATTAAAATAATTAAAATCTTAAAATCTTTTTTTTTTCTTTTTTTTTTTTTCAGTGTCACTGATTTACAGTTTCAACTTTCTGTCACTGTTTTGGCATTGAGAGGAGGGGTCTGAGGGGAGGGGCAAGTAGAGTGTGGTTTGCATATAATTTGCATATCGGCATACCCTCCGTCCGCTCTGAAGCCTCTGGCATGGTGGCATTACTAAAATAGTAAAAATAGAAAAGTAAAGCCCTTTTCGCATGGGACTAGTATTACCTGGGGACACACAAACACATAAAACAAATCCAACAGAAAAACGCAGCAACAGAAAATTGCTGCAATCACAGAAACGAAGCAGAAGCAAAAACTTACAAACCCTCAAAACAAATGCCAAAGAAAAATACTCGCTCGACAAAACGGAAGTGCGCCAGGCCACTAGGGGGACCCGACCTGAGGGATGGACCAGTCCTGTGGGACCAGACCCGAAAGACATGAAGAAGAAGAAGAAGAAGAAGAAGAAGAAGAAGAAAGTTGGCTAAGTCAGGGCGTGCTTGAGCATGAGTAGTGAGTAGACGTGTCTTCCACAGCTCCCGCAGAAATCTATCAAATTTATACATTTTGGACCTTGTAACCGTTCAAACTCCGTTGGAAACACACACCAAGTGACTTTATTACCTTATGAGTGGATGAATGCCTCCCAAACCGGCCAAACAACAAAGTGGGAAAGCCACAACACGGGGCGACTCGAACTCCTCGGCTAGCAGAAACAGGTGCTAATGCTAATAACATGGATGCGCTGGCAAATGCAGTAACTGCTGTGCAAGCCTCTATCAACTCGTTTCGGGAGGAGAACCGGGCGTCTATTGCTTTTTTACATTCGATCCTGAATTTGTATGGCCAACGAATTACTGATATAGACGAGGCTGAATGAGTTCGACAAGAGACTGAGCAACGTGGAAGCTTCCCAAACTTCGCTGGCTAAAGAGAACGGTGCTTTGAGGGAGAAGGTGGCGTACTTGGAAAACTACACTAGACGGCAGAATATACGCATTGTGGGGATATCAGAAAATGCGGAGGACCAACAGAATTCATCACCAAACTACTCATCGATGTGCTTGGGGAAGACAGTTTTGAGAAGCCGCCGTCGGTGGATAGAGCCCAGAGGAGTTTGGCCCCAAAACCAGCTGATGGCGACAATAGACCACGGCCATTCATTGTCAAGCTCCATCACTTTCAAACCAAAGAGTTGATCCTACGCCTCGCCAGACAGAAGGGCCCACTCTTCTTCAAAGGATCAAGATTTCACATCTTTCCTGACTACAGCCCGGATGTCAACAAACGACGCACAGCCTTCTCCGAGTCCAAAAAGAAGCTCCACGGTGCAAAGATCCAGTTCGGCCTCTACTACCCAGCCACTCTGCAGTTCACACACAACGGGAAGCGTATGAAGTTCACCGAAATCTGTGCAAACAATCCAGTCGTTCATAGATATACATAAACTTATAGACCCATGGAGATTTAAACATCCCACCAAAAGGGAGTATTCGTATTACTCTAATGTACACAAGTCATTTTCCAGGATAGATTTTTTTTTGGTTGACCCCTATCTGCTTAGTGTTATTAGAGATTGCAAATATGATCCAATCATTATTTCTGATCACGCCCCGGTTAGTATTAAGGTAACTCTTCCGACTCAGAGGACAAAACGGACATGGCAGCTTCACACACTCCTGCTGGCTGATTCAGACTTCGTGAAGTTCATTACAGAACAAATAGATTTCTTTCTGCAGGTAAATAAGACTGATGGCGTCTCAGCCTCAACCCTCTGGGAGACACTTAAAGCGTATCTTAGGGGACAGATTATTTCTTGCTCTGCTTATATTAGGAAAATGAAGTATAAGAATATTGAGGAGCTTTCTTCAGAAATTAAGGCTCTGGATGGACTCATATCTGGTTCTCCGACCCCTGATTTGACTAGGAGGAGAGTAGGCTTACAAACTGAAATTGATCTCTTAACTACCACCCAAGCGGAGAGGCTCATTTTTAAGTCCCGTAGTAGATTCTATGAAGAGGAGGATAAACCTTCCAAACTATTAGCTAGTCAACTCCGCCAAAAAGCGGCGTCCCGTACTATTTCGCAAATTATGCTACCTGATAGCTCCTCAACGGAGGATCATCAGGCTATTAACAACTGCTATCTAAATTATACTCTTCAGACTCAACACCAGATCACAACCAATTTGACGCTTTTTTTCCTGATCTGAACGTCCCTACAATTGACTCTGACTCTAAAGAACGATTGGAACAAAATCTGACACTGGAGGAAATTAACAATGCAATAATGTCCCTTCAGAACGGAAAAGCCCCTGGCCCGGACAGGTTTCCAACTGACTTTTTAAAAAAATTTAAAGATAAACTTGCCTCTCTTCTTCTGTCAGTCTATGCAGAAGCACTGGAAAATAACACTCTTCCGCCTACGCCACCAACATGCCAGGCATCTACTACACTGTTATTAAAGAAGAATAAAGACCCTTGAGATTGCTCATCTTATAGACCAATCAGCTTGACGAACTGTGACGGTAAAGTGTTCTCAAAGGCCATTGCACTCCGGCTTGAAACAATTCTTCCTCATATCATTTCGGAGGACCAGACTGGGTTTATCCAGGGCAGACAATCCTATTTTAACCTGAGACGTTTGTTTAATATCATCTATACTGAATCTAGCACTTCATCCCCAGAAGCAGTAATATCGCTTGATGCCGAAAAGGTGTTTGATAGGGTTGAGTGGGATTATCTTTTTCATACACTTGGCAGGTTTGGTTTTGGCCCTAACTTCACTCACCTTATCAAGCTCATTTCAATGATCCAACTGCCTCAGTTTATACCAATGGTATCTCATCTGAGTATTTTCCTCTTCACAGAGGGACAAAACAAGGGGATCCAGTGAGTCCGTTGCTTTTTGTTTTAGCTATAGAACCACTTGCCATAGCTCTTAGATGCAATAATAGTATACAAGGTATCTCACGTCGTGGCCTAACTCACACTGTCTCGCTTTATGCAGACGATTTGTTACTATATGTCACCAACCCCATTACAACTACCCCTGAAATCCTTAGAATCTTGCAGGAATTTGGAAATATATCTGGGTATAAACTAAATTTTAATAAAAGCGAATATTTCCCCATTAGTAGTAATGCCAGAGAATATCCCAATCTGCCATTTAAGTTGTCCGCCGAGTCCTTTACATATCTGGGTGTAAAAGTCACCAAATCCTATTACAGTCTATTTAAAAGTAACCTCACTCCTCTGTTGAAACAGTGTAGAACAAATTCTGTAAAGATGAATATTGTACCAAAGTTTCTATATTTATTTCAGGCGTTGCCTGTTTATATACCATAATCTTTTTTCAAGGCATTTAATCAAATGATTTCTTCCTTTATATGGAATAATAAATCAGCTCGCATAAGAAAAGAATTTATGGAAAGACCAAAAGGTGTAGGTGGGCTTTCACTTCCAAATTTGTGCACGTATTATTGGACTGCAAATTTGAATGCCATCTCTCTGTGAAAAGATTGGAATGATAGGATTCCTGCATGGCTCCAGATTGAAAAGGTTACAAGCAGCCCACACTCACTCCCTGCTTTACTCTGCGCAACCCTACCAACACTAGTTAATAATATTAAGGATAATATAATTGTAACTCAATCACTACGCATCGTAAATCAGTTCAAAAGATGTCTGGGTATTCAGAGTATTTCTATTCACTCACCAATAATACATAATCATCTTTTTCAACCATCCTTAATGGACAATGGCTTCAAAATTTGGTATCACAAAGGCATTCATAGTATTGAGGACCTGTATGTTAATGATACTTTTGCTAACTTTGAACAACTATCCAGAAAATTTGGTCTGACCAATAATCATTTTTTTTACGATACTTGCAAATTAGAGATTTTACTCGTAAAAAGTTTGCTAATTTACACTCCCTTCTCCTTCCTGTTTGGATTCCCTATTAAAGGTCAATATGCTGAATAAGAGCAGAATATCATTTATTTATTCCCATATCATGGATAGCTGCAACCTCTATGCAAATCTCTATTTCACATATTCGAGAACAGTGGGAAAATGA